AATTTTTGGTACACAAATTACATTTTTTTAAGTGCTACTATCAAATCTCAGGTTTTCATCAATCATTAACGAGAAATTCTCGTATTTAGTTGGAAAGCTGGAAAGTCTAAGCGCTGTCCAAAGCAATGAGAAAAAACGTGAAAATCCCAAAATTTAAAACATCACAAAAATCATGCATACCATTCTCGCAAATGTAGAAAATAATTCAGACAAATTTAAGGTTTCAAGAAGACCTAAAAGAACGTAATGTTTACCAATTATGAGGTAAGCGTTTCAAATGTTTTGCTCTCCGAAATGATTTTTTTTCTCTCAAGAACTGATGAATATTTTAACGCTTTATAAATTATAGTTTTTATACAACATGTCTTAATTGTGAATTGGTGTTTGTGTCAATTTTAAATCTGATGATGGCGCTGTTGTCTCACCGAAACGTAGTGAAATAAACGATATTCAAAATTTTTACTTCACACTTTGACTGAGACCCAAGAAAGATAAGAATATAATCACAAAAATCAATTAACAAAGATAATGTTGTCAACAAGGACTTTCTACTTTCAAAGAACATTTGATGTAAAGACCAAAATTGTAGGCTACCCTAACAACATCCCAAAGCTTGCCTGCCCTTTAAAGATTAGATTTTATCCGCAATCTGTAGAAGGCTTTAACTTACTTACCTTAATTACGTTGCAGACGGAGAATTCATTTATAATTAATTAACCGATGACCTTAGTTGGATAGAGTGAATGTAATCTCAGGAATTATCCCCCTGTTCTTCTTTAGTATTCCGTCAAATTTGGCAATTAATAGCGCAACATTTTTTCTCTGAAATCTAGCGCCTTGAATGGGTTACACCGGGCTGTATCCGACTATAATTTAATTGGTTCGCAATGCTGGAGATTTCCATGATTTCCATTGTTCCGGCCCAGTCAGTGTAAACAGGATAACGCCAGCAATTTACCACAAACCGGCTCTGATCAACAGAATCTCCACACAGTTTTGAATTAAACAAATGTTTATGATTAAAATTGTTATGCCATTTTTGTGTTTAATAAACCTGAATACGAACAATGCTCAATCTACTCAACTCCGTTGTTAAAGTGGAGGTTTGTGCAAAAGTACAGTGAAATATCCTGAAATAGCTGTGAATTTCATCGCACATAAGCAAAAAAATTCCTGCAGTCGAACCGAATTGTTCGCGATGGCTGGAAACATTTACTTATATTTTAACTGAGATAAATGCAGAAAAAGCGTGGTTTAAATTTGCGAATTTCTACCCAAAACCCTATAACAAAGCTCAATTAATGTGTTTGGATAAATTACCTAAAACCGCACGTTATGAATTCGATTATGTATTCATTTGTCTCCATTGGCATTAATTTCATTATTTATAATAAAAATTAATGTGGGTTTGTATATGCAAAGCGTGGGTTTCAATATGCATATAAAAATCTGAGGCCACTAAAAATTTAGCGCCACCAGCAAACGTGGATACAGCTTTTCTCGATATAAAAACACGATATTTTCCTCCAATGAGTAACAAGGGGCATTAAGGATTTTATTGCGGTTCTGTGACATTCGTTATCCCCCGGGAAAAATATTGTTATTACAGGTATTTACTGAACTGCGTCGTCTTTTGATAAATTTGTGGAAATTGAGGAGCGACTTTTCGCAGCGATTTATTAAATGGAGCTTCTCGAATGATTTTCTATGGCTTTGCACGGGTTTTTTCTCCATTAGTTAAGTTTTTTCAATAAGAATCTTTTATATCCTTATGAGTTTTGCACTTTGAATGCATCACGTTTTTAAACAAAGATATTCTAGTTTTTATTTAGATTATGTCAAATAACTTTAGCTAGAAAAATTTGAGGTTTGCATTAACTTTTGCTCATTTCTCCCAAAAACGTTCGAGAAAATGCAAGTAAATTGGCTATTTATTGATCTAAAAAGTGGAGTTTTGACGTAAATAGTTTCAGTAAAAAGTTATTCAAAAATTTTAGGTTTTATATAAAAGATTTTCAATTTTGGACTTGAGTTTGAGATGGTGGAAAAATACACCGAAACGTATTTTGATTGATAAATAGAGACAATAAATGACTGAAACCCAGGAATGAATTTGATTTGGAACAAATCCAATGTTATGTGAAAGCAACATTGGTAAGAAACTGGCAAGTTTTTTGGCATGTTTGCCACAAGTGGCACGCATCTTAAGAGCTGTTTTCGCTCGAAGGCTTAAAAGGGACTGATAGTCCAATTATCAACCAAAATGCGTACTCATATTTCAAAAAAAATCCACTTTATTAAAACCAGCATTGTTTTTGCTTTGTCCGCATCGTCTGGCAAAACTTATATGCCATTCGGATAATGATGAGCAGATGACTCTGTCTAATAAATGAGCGGAAAGCACCTGCCCTGGATAACATTAAGCGCTTTATCAATGTTATTTTTGCTTCCACGATGGGCGAAATAAAGAGCAAAGTCGAGCGTATAACATATAACGACAGTGACTAACGGGCGCCCTTAAACCCTTTTATTGCGATATAGCGCATTTCCAGTAAAACGTTTAGAAACGGACTAAAACGGCGAGCTAAACCGTTTAACGTTTCATTAAAGCCCTATTCAAACGACATTTCAATAAATGCAAAAAAGGCCCATCATGAGTTAAAACTTGAGCCTCTTTGCCCGTTAACCCTTCGGCTATGGACAAGGTTTGCGCGATCGAAATCAAATCCAATCCTCTCAATTAATAACTTTGAGGTAATAAATTTGCCTGACCAACCCCATTTAAATCAACCCAGCAGCGTCTTCTTGTTAAGTAAATCAATTAATCATTACTGGCCAATCTGTATTAACCATTTAACGCACGAATGAAAAGATGAACGTAAATGAGGGCGTGAAGAGATGTTTTTTATATCTGCCGGCGATTAGGTCGGGGATAATCAATTAAGGCATCAAACCCACCACATTGTCTTATGAGTGATGAGTTTTTATACAGCTCTGAATCCAATTTAATTCATATTCGCGAAGAAAAAAACAGCTAATTTACAAAATCATCGCTCCAATGTCATTAGATTTAGATTAGCGATATGGGATGTTCGATTAGCTGCCATTGACGATCACTTAAAGTTACCAAGCTTGTACTTATCCATAGAAGATTCTCTATGCGATATCAATCTCCCTAATATCGACCGCCACCGGGCTTGAAATAAACCAAAAAAATCACAACAAATGGGGGCCTTGACTAAGTCATGAGTCTAAAGACCATTTATTGCCAGCAATGGAAACTCTGAAGTGAATAGAAAGTGTTAGTATTGAATTCTTCTTGATTTATTATCGTCTTTAAAAAGGTTTTTTGGACTTCGGTCTCAATCTTATCAGACTGTTTATTGTTGTAAAAAATGCCCTGTAGTTGTGTCGAATAATGAAACAGACTTCCAGATGTGCTAATCTCAGGTTCCTGTTAACTTTCGTCAGCTGGGTTTGGCCTGGAATAACAGTGAGAGGTGCCTGATATTAGTGACCGATCAGTCAGCCCAGTCTAAGCTTTTGAGCGAAAAATCTCTGAACATGCAAGCTCTTCGTGCTTGAAATTACCAGTTTAAACACTAAGCAAACAGTGTGTTAATTATAATTTTAAGAAGAATGCAAGCGCAAATAAAGCGAGCTAATGCATAAGATCGTTGCATAAAATAGTGTTCAATAGATTTGTTAGTGTTTGCGTTCAAATAGCGACTGTATTTTCAGCTTGAAACTAAGAACTTCACACGCAAACGAAATTTACTGGCAGGTCCAATAAATCCGCTCTGATAGAAAAGTGCGTGAAAAATGGTCAAATTCAGAATTGTTTGTTTGAGTTTGCAGACATGTTAGGAAATTCGCAGTCGTAAATATTCGTCTTTGCCAACTGGAGCCGTTATAACACTTTGAAGTTAAGGGTGAAAACTGGAATTTTACTGAGTCTAGTTTTAGAAGCAAGATGCTACCTATTTGCGATTTTTCCAAGCAAAAAGTTCCTCAATAAGAGCTGGAGTCTATAATAAGAAATATATTGTCGGTGAAAGATCGTGGCCAATCGGACCCGATGTTTTTTTCAATTAATTTATTGCTTTCTATCGGTGAATATGTAGGTAACATGTTTTGTTATGTTTGAATCAGTTGTTTGAGGGATTTGAGTGTCTTAGAAAAAGTGGACATTTCGATTTTTTATAGTGCTGCAACGCTGCACTTGTTGAACTCTGGACAAATTCCCCAAACTACCTAATAGTGTAGAAACGGAAATAAATGGCATGATAAATAAGGACTTGGGCTTATCTTTAATTAGCAATTAATCTTGCAACAAAAGTCCAATACTCCCGAAACGGCGTCACTGAAGTGTTTGCTTTGGCATAATAATTTATGACGATAATCCCCGGGTCATTATTTAGGTGGAAAGCGATTAGTACTGTTCAAAACATCTTTGCCAAACAGTGTCTTTATTCCCGTTGATCTTTAGAAGCAATTAAGTGTTTTACTTTTTTTGCACTGTCGGCTTTGCATTGCAAAAAATATTTGTTAGTTCTTAAGAAAGTTTGAGACTGTGGAAGCACCCTCGACCTAGTTTCTGCTACAGTTCGTTAGTTTGCTCAACTCTATTCAGCTCTCTATTGTTGAGTGGATTTTTGCTCCGATTAACCAGTCAGTCAGACTGGAAAAACTTTTCTAATTCCAACATAAAACACTGGCCTTTGAAAGATTGGATAATAATAAAGTTCATCCGCACAGAAAATGATATTAATGCATACCGCGGAATAATTTATCAATGTCCGCAACTAACCCAGAGGGTTTTAATTATTTTTTGCATAAAGCTTTTCAATTATGCCACGTTTTCAACCAGACAAAAGCTGGACTTTAATAACGACACTAATAATAGTGCTAATTCGTTGCTAAAATAGCCCTGTTATTTTACGTTTGAAGCGAATCGCTATTAATAGTTGGATAACGTGGATTTTTTGGTTTTGTTTCAGACTAATTACAGTCGACATTTGGAGGAAATTGCCAAAGAAGCTGAACGTCAAACATTGGCCACCGTCCAAAGTCTCTTAATGGAAGAAAAGTTCAATAAAGCCGCACTTCTGCTGGAACATTGGGAGGAATATCTCGCAATTTCAGGTAAGTTTCAATGAGTCGACAAGTCACTTTTTTGCACAAAACTTTGGGATTGCAAGCAAAATACGCACATGAATCTGTTTATTCTTCTGGGCAAACAATTGCGGTCCTCATAATAGAAACTCGATATTGGCTATGGTGGTTTTGCCATTAACTGCCAACAAAGTGCGAAATATTCTATTTAGCGCGAAATAATTTAAAGACCCATTAATATCGTGGCAGGTTTCATTTGGGGCTGGGGAAATTAATAATTCGCCGTAATGGTGGTGTGTTAATTATTACATGGTCACTAAATACCATTAGCTTGTCAACAATAGTTACATGTGCTCAATTACAAATCCATTACAATGTCTAGGACTTATTCTAGATTCGACAGGCCAAACCATGGAAGAAGAGGTGCAATTGTTTATAAGAAGGGTTTCCAAGCTGGAGGGATTACTCAAGGAACTGTACATGAAATGCAATAGTACAGACGACGGAAACGTAATTCTGCATTTGCTCGATAAATGCTCCAAGATTTTGGACCGAGTGAATGGAGATAAATCTTTGAGCGCCGGAGGACGCTTCGAATGGGTCAATTCGATCCTAGTTAAAGTAGGTAACCGGCTCTATTTCAAATCAAGTGAGGAAATTCGTCATTTGGATTTCAGTGCTTGCAAGAAGGATCTTGGCTGCTTGTCGACAATGTAAATCTATGCAGCGCGGCCGTTCTGGACCGCTTGAATGCACTTTTGGAACCCAACGGCGTTCTCACTATATCGGAAAGGGGCGTCGATGATGATGGTAAAATGTTCGAAGTCAAACCGCATAAAGATTTTCGAATATTCTTGACCATGGATCCCAAAAACGGTGAAATATCAAGGTAAGAAACAACCATTTAAGATCATGAGTGGAAGAGTCGCTTCGAAAAATCGTTTGTCGAATCAATGTTTCCAGTAGATTCCTACTTTTGGGAATTGAAACACTGAAGAAGTAAATCTGTTTTTTGTGATGAGTTTTAATTGCCCTGAACCACTTTAAGTCTTATGAGCGCCTTTTTTCGAGCGACTGGTTTGCATTTTTCCACTAACAACATTATATTTAGTGTGCGGTATTCAGAGGAAAATTGTTCGCAATTCCCGGGCTGGCTTCAGTCAATTAAAACGCAAATTTTTCATCGATTGCTCGATATAAATCCACACTTTTTAATCGACTATGGGACAGCATGTTTAATGTGCTTCTGCTAGAAAAACTCAACGTGCGCTAAATAAAATCTTATATAAATACTTTGAAGGACGATTTCATCTCATTTCGTTTTCTTTTTTGCAGAGCCATGCGAAATAGAGGTGTGGAAATTTACATGCTCAACTCCTCCGACGCTTCGTCGTCCAACCAATACGACATCAAAAGTCTGATCGATCTGGAAGGTCTCTCCAACCCCAACCATATAGCGGTTCTCCTGAAAGTCCACGAATTTATATCAGGATTGATCCTAAGCGATCAACCAAATACCACGGAAATACTGAGTTGTGCCTCGTTAATTTCGCAGCAACTGCATCATGGCATTGATGTGTTTGAGGCGTTTTGCACTACTTGCATTGAAGTTTACTATAAAACCAGAAATCCGTCCGAGTTCAACTGCAACAACGTGTTGGAAGTGATCGCTGAAGGGATTAAACGGTGTTTCCAGGAAAGTGAACTGACGGACTTTTACAATCGAAACGTTACTCTTAACACCACGAACTTTGCAAAATGGTCGATGCTAGAGAAAGTGAAACAACAATCCGCGATTTATCAATCGGCTTTGAAGAGGTTTAATCAGGAGAAGCCACTGGAGGTTTTGAAGCAAAGTTATCGAAAACTAGGCAATGGACAAGATGTATCCATCTGGCCTGATATAGATCAGGTGAAGATCCAAAATGATTTTTTTGCCAGCAGCCACTTCTACACTTTGGCCAATTTGCTGGTGATCGATTACACTTTAAGCTCGGACGATGACGTCGAATACCGCACTCTTTATCTGCGGACCATCACAAATCAACCAGAATGGCAGGGGGCTTTGGAGCTTTTTAGTAAAATCACCAAGTACTTCCAGTGGACAAATTCACGCCTCCCGTATGACGATAGATGGGTGAACGACAGAGGAATTAACAGCAGCTCCAGCAACGCGATAAATTACGCCCTACAGATCGAGCTTCACAAGCTAAAAGACGCTTTTCAAATCAAATACGGCATCCAAAACTCATTGTACAATTATCTACACGCCTTGAAAAAACGACAAGTAACTGATGCATTTACCAGTCCCATTTGCTCCTACTATTTAGAATTGCGCTCCGAACACTTCATGTTTATGAGACAGTTGTGTACACACTTTACGAAGGATGGCAGCTTGAACCAGACAGTGGTTAAAGTTTTGGAACTTTTAAGTTGGCGACAAGCTTTGCAAGGTTTCCTCACTAGTGTGCGGGTACCCAATCAGGCGCAGAAATCTCCAAGAGCTTTTCAAAACAAACTGGAAGCTTTGGCTTTATACTATAAATGGTTTTATAAGTATTCAGTGGCAAAGGTGGCCGAGCTACTCAACACAAAGGTATTGAGTTTGTTTTTTATTCTTTAGTCTAATATTTTCAATTAATCTGGCCGGAAAGAATGTTTTCAAGAAAAAATCCCTTTCGTAGCATTTTTCCTTTCAGGTTTTTTATGGAAATTATTCCTCCAGCTTCTTTCAATCGCATCGTTTCTTAATGTGTTGTTTTTGTTTTATTGCTCGAAAAAGTCGCGCACTTCTACGGATCGAAAGGCAGCGCAGTCGAAAAAGGTCCCTTGAGGAAGACATTTTGCATTTAATTCTCATGGAGAAAGAAATGAGACGCAAGTGACCTATTTTTTCGAAGAAACGAAGCGATTTCTGTTCATTTTTAAATGCTCGGATCGTCAGTGATTCTATTCGACTTTTTCGCAATTTTTCTTCTGTTATTGATGTATTGTCGCTTGATTTGCAAAGTCAGCAAATAAACCGAATAACCAGCGATTGTTTCAGACTAAACAACAGGCTTATAATGAGGATATTAGCAAAATATATAAGATAGAATACAGTACTAACTGGGCACAAGATACATAAGTCGAAAATCAGTTAAACAAATCGATTGTTCTATTTGCTTCATTTGTCTCCAAAAGGACAATTTACAACTCTTTGTACTGTTGCGAAAAAGGGCACTTGATTTTCTTTTCCTTTGATCTTGTTTAGCGTTCAGTCGCGTTTTCTTTAGAAGCTGGAGGTTTTTTGTTCTATATAAGGCGCCCTAAGAAAATTTGTGTTTGCGAATCTATTTCAAACTACTGATAAATCTTGACATTCCCCATAATATTAATAATTTCCAAGCATTTTTCGCTTTTTAAATATCGCTTGTGTGATTTTTTATCGTAATGGTTTCTGTTCTCTTTAAGGTTCCCGACTCATTGAATAGTATTTTAATCAGCATCAACGAACACTTGGAAGAACACTTCTCGAAAAGCTACAAAATAGCTGCCAACTACAAAAAGTACAATATCGTTCCAGAATTTTACACGATGGATTGGCAATTGGGTGCCTTGGAGCTTTTGCAATCCTATGACTTATTTAATCCATCCACCAATGTAAGCAGAACGCTGGCCTTATTCAAGCGCTCTCAAGAATTCCGAAGTACATTAATTGGACTGAAAAGCAACATTTATTCCAACGCTGACTTGAACAGTGAACTGTCTCAGCTGAAAACTTTCAAAGATAACACTTCGACCGAGCAATGTTTGCAGATACAAGAACGAGAAATACTGCCTTTAGTAGACGCTCTAACCGAAATGCTTTTGCTGCAAATAATCAATGCAATCTATGCAAAAAAAGAACTAAATCTGGCTACTTTGGACAAGAATATCTTAGTGAATGTGGATTTCAACGGCGCTTTATTGAAGTATAAAGCAACGGGAAATGAAAGATTCCTTCACGAAATTAAAAAGGAATTCTACTCAGCCGCTGCTAACTGTCCATCAGCTCGTCCAAGTAAATTTATTGATGGAGCGTATAATGCAGAAATCGGTTTGTCGATTGCTGGAGTTGAGCCAGTTTTTTCGAAGACGATCATCCAACTACTAGTTGATTTGGAGAATAAATGTGCCACGTTGAGCAACTTCAAAGCTGTTGAAGAACAACGCGAATTTTTAAGATTGCTCGTATGGGACAATATGCATGCTTTATCCAGTGAGCCGTTTGACTTTATGTAAGTATATGGCATTTAGTGAATAGTTCTGAACCAAACGTTTCTCTTGCATCTGCTACAATAATGTTTTTATATTTCAGAAACAATCAACATACTCTGTTAAAAAACAATTTGAAGAACGTGCTTGACCGCCTGAAAAACTGCTTAAAACTGTCCAATATATCATTGGACGATTTTTCATATAATGACTTTAAGGACCTTGTTTTGAGGAAAACTATCGAACAAGTTCAATCGAGTTATCATAAGTTTAAGACGGCATTGGCTTCAACACAACGAGAAGATTCTTCCTTCTCCTACATAGCTGATATTCACTTGAATTTAGGCTTTGCTGAGCTTTATTTAAATTCTCTATTGCCGCGAGTTGATCCATTGGCTAAGAAAGCAATGAAGAAGAACCATATAGTTTCGGTCATTAGCATGTTTGAACAAATGAAATTGAGTTTTGAGTCGCAAAATGCAGTGTTTAGCAATGAAGATTACAAGCATCCCTACGTTCAACCCATTAAGGAAATGATTGAGAATTTGCAATCCAGATTGCAAAAGTGTGGAGAAAGCAGCAATATCGGAGTGAAATCTTGCTCTTATAACCAAGTTGTGCAGGTGAGATTTTTAATTACTTCTCTTTGTCTAGTAATTGCTGATAATGCGAAATTCCAGCAAGTTACTCACGCAAGAAGCAGCATTTTTAAACTGACTGTCCTGGATGACATCAACGATTGCACGAAAATGGTTGAAAAATTGCCAAATCAGCCATACAGTGAAGAAGTGATGAACAAAATCCAGTACTATATCGATATTTTCGAATCCAGTGTGCCCAGTTTTGATACAATCATCCAAGACTGGAATCAACTTCGAGGCTTTTACCCGGACATAATTGAACCTCTGCTCGGGAATATTTTCCAATTTTTGTACGGTTTTAAGCTGAAGTTATTCTGGATTAAGCGCGAAGTCCTCAAGTTCCAATACAACATTCAATTTAAAGTAAACCTAGAGAACGAGCTGCTTAAACTAGCGGAATTGCCATCGTTAAACGAAAATGTTGCCACTCTCAACGTCCTTGTTGAGTCTCACACAATACAGAGAGAGGGCCCTTTTATGAATTACATTTTATGCGCTGAACAACCAGCTTATGTTAAGGAGAAGGAATATGTGAGGCAAGTAATTGCTGTCTAAAAAATCTTCCATTTTAAAAACTGATAGGATTTTACAGGCTGCTGAAATGCGAAATTCAAGAGTCGTTTAACCAGTGCATAATTAGCGCGAAGACTTTCCGCAAAATTGACCAAAACTTACTAGGAAAATTCAATGAATTAGTGGAGACCTTTATAAGCCTTTGGAATGCTCAGCAGGAAAACAAGGAAAGGGAAAAAGCCGAAGCTGGAAGTCTCTATAAAATGCGGTAAGTTCTATATATCTTAAAGCATTCTCTACTGAGTTTATGTGAAGTAGTAAATGTGTTTTCAAGCAAAATTCGTTGCTTTGAAATCCTTGGAGTGGCTCGAAAGAATATTTGCACAAAAATACGATAATCTTTAAAATTTCAGATCAAAATGTGACGATAAAACTGAAGAGGAACTAATCGAGGAAGAGCTGAAAGAACTATTGCCGAACCATCACGTCCTAGATTTTTCCGATCTCCAACCGCAAATACTATCCGACTCTCCTGTTGAAGTTGAAGTTGAAACTGACTATAAGAGTTGCGGCCTGATGACCGACGAGGACTTAATGTTCGTCGTTGACCTTCATTCGAAACTTTTCAAGAACTTTATTAGAGCTGAATGGCTGATTCCGGAACCCAACAAGCATATTCTGCCGGATTACGTGAGCCCTTTAAGGGAAAAGTACAAACTGGCGAGACGGTTAATGGAAAACCACCCTAACTACTTTCAGTATACTTTGGACAAACAACTCTGTGCAAGTTTGGCTGTTTTATTAGAAGTTTCCGGGAAATATGATGCCAACGAAAAGCGTAAGTGTAATAGCTGGCAGGATTTATGGGCAAAGTCCTATTATTAAGTAGTTAGCAGATAAACCATGGTTTGAGAAGTTTACTTCGGAAGTTGTTTAAAGGAACTGATTCAATTTTTATTTAGGAAATAATTTGTTAAAGAGTAATAACTGGTAAAAAGTCTGCATAGGCTATGAACTTGAAATGGTTGAAAGTGGAACTTTTTGATTTTTCCAGATGTAGAACCGTTGTCGCCAAAGATACATAATAAGAAAATCAAGGATTTTTACAAAGACTCGGACGTTGATGAGGTAAAACCGTGTCTTAAGGCGTTGAATGTACTGAAAAGTAAAGTAAACGAACTTCTAGAAGAATGGCCAGAACAACCCACCTTGAAGACAGTGAGTTTCTTAAACTAATAGCCAATAATAGTCAATAAACTTCTATCAAAAAGAAATTGCCTCCAATTCACTGCATTAACTTTTTTTAGATTCTGCTGATAATCGACAGAATTTTAAATTTCGACATCAAGAGTCCCATATCTAGATTCCTCACGGGCTTCGATATTCTTCTATCTAAATGCCATGAATGGGAAGAAGTGGCTCACAGCGGCGTTAGTCTGAGAAATTCGACTCCAGAACTCACTGCTCAGATTATCACATGGAGAAAATTGGAACTGAGTAGATGGAAGGACTTACTAAGCACCACGTTCACAGGGTGAGAATAGGAGTATACTGTCATATTTACGAGAAGTTTTTGGCGAAAATTCGCGCACTGAATTTTTGCCTCCACCTGAACCCATAATTTAAACTAATAAACTTCCGTTCCAGACTGAACAAACCATTAAGTAAATGGTGGTTGTACATGTACAATCTACTAAAACAATACTTGCACAGCGACGAAGTCAACAAATCTCAGCTAATAGATACGCTGCAAAGCTTCATCACGAAATCGCCTATTGCGGAGTTCCACGGCCGTTTGGAAATGCTTTTGGAATTTCATTGTCATGCGATTGGCTTGCCCAGAAGCGCGAAGTCCGCTTTGTTTATAAGCATCATTTGGAACGTTTACAACTATTTTAATCAGTTTTCAACAGTGATCACGAATAAAATAAAAGATCTGCGATCGCCGATCGAGCGAAAGTTGAAAGACTACCTGAAAATCGTGCGATGGAAAGACATCAACTACTGGTCTATTAGAAACACCGTGGATAAGACGCATAAAATGTTGCACAAGTTTGTTAGGGAGTATAAGGTAAAAGAGGCGATTTGAATGATTTTTTCCCATTAATATGACGTGAATTTTTAGGGTGTTCTATCGCAACCAGTGACACCATTTTTAACCAATCCGGTCTCAGAAAATCTAATCGATAATGTGGGCATTTGGGACCGGCCGCAACGCCAAAATCCTAAACCCTACCACTACACTCTTGATGCGGAGTCCTACATGGCAAAAGCGTCGATCAAGGACTTCGCCTATTTAGCAAAAGCTCGCAAAATTGCCAAGGAAACTATTTTAAGCACCGAGTATCCAGAATTACTGAAGTGTTTAGATGGTTTTGTGACCGATGTGATCGAAACCAGTTCACATCTGAAGAACTTGGAAGTGAGTATATTGAAAAATAGCCATAGACTTCGACTACTTTAAAAACACTTATTGTAGATTGACACATCTTTAACGAAAGCGAAGCAAAAGTCGCAAGCCAAAACGATTCTCAATCAAAAACATCGAGCTTTAGCAGATCTTTTCCAATCGTTGACCAAGATGGGGGTTTCGTTCAAAACAGGACTGATCGACATGAAGCTGAAGAATCCAGCCGATAATTTCACGATAAAACCGATTGATTTATCCGCGAGTTTAACATTTTTAGGCTTGAATTCCATGGATGGAAAGATATTAACTATCTGGGATTCCTGTGAGTTGTACTATTACAGATCCGTGATGCGCTGCGAAATATTGCATAGCGCCCTTTTGACTCCAGCCCCAGATTTGGGTATGCAAAATATTGAGCGATGCCGAGGATTTGCCGCACATTTACTGGTAAGTTTGCTTAACGAAACAACTTCAAACAATATCCAATGTTCTCTCATCATCTATGTCTAGACGATTTGCCAGCAACAGAAAGTCAACCTTATCGAAGCCACGCAGAGTCACTACGTGCTACGTGGATACGCGAAGCAAATGCGAGAGTTTTGCGAATATTCATCGCTGATCTCGTTCAAAACGCTAGAAGATATCCAGGAAGTTTTAGGCTCACTTGCGGTAGTTACCAGTCAGTTGCAGCTCATGGTGAATTCCTGCCCAGAAGAACAGACTCAGGAAAGTCAATATATTGCCATACCCCAATTGAAACCAGATTCAGATAAACTGAAGCGAAAAGACGACGAAAACTGGAAGAAAGTCCACAAATCCCTGAACGGCATTACTTCCTTGTCGGCGAAAATGTTACAAGTTATGCATAAAAATGCATACTACCAACCGCATATAAGCAGGGACGTGGTAAAGCCGGAACTGGTGCCATTTGCAAACAAAGGCCAACTTTACACGGACTTGCAAAAGCTTAACGAATACTTAAACAACTTGAAGCTCATATTCGATCCAATAAAGGTTGTTGATTCAATAAAATGGGTATCAAAATCGATTACGCTAATTCTTGAAGAGGGCTTTAAAGAGCAAGAGTTAGACCCAGCCCCAGAACACGTTGTGGATGTTCTTCTTCAAAATTTCACCACAACCATTCTAATTAAAATCCAGAATGTGTACAAAAAATACAAAGAACCCCGTTTGCAAGATGACACAGAGGAAGAATTGCAACTGAAACCGAACCATCTTAAAGTTCTGCTAACCGGCAATTTGGCCGAAGACTTTCAAACCTTTGATCTTGGCAATGTCCTGAAAGCAGCAGAGGCAGTTTTAACAGTTCTCCTGGGAAAATCTGCCCAAGTCTCTGAAAAAATCATAAACCAAACCGCTAAAAGCCTCGCCTTATTCGATCAAGTTCTTCGGTTGTCCGAGTATTTTATTACCCAGCAAGTAGCCGCTTACAGAATCACTTGCAAGCTGACTTCGATATTAATGAACATCTTCATCGATCTAGCTTCAAAGGTACCACAAAAGTTATAACAATTTAATGGCCAAATGTTTAATTAAAGCTTATTTCTAGGGATTTTGCGTTCCTCCAGAGCTGTCAGACGAAATGGATAAGGAAGGCGTGAGCAAACCATCTAATGGTATGGGATTAGGCGACGGCCAAGGAGAAAAAGATGTTTCAGACAGAATCGAATCTGAAGATCAACTGGATGATGCCCAGCCTGCCAATCAAGAGAAGCAAACTGATGAAGATCCCGACTGCAAAGAAGAGGACAATGCTATAGAAATGAGCGAGGACTTTGATAGTAAATTGCAGGTAGGGGTTTTTAGATGGCAATTTATTTATTTGTACAAGCAATTCACAATTTTTTTATTTTAAAGGATAAAAAACCAACTGGAGAAGACGATGAAGATCAAGACAACCAAGGTTCTGATGCTGAGGAGCAAATGGGCGAAACTGAAAAGGGCGCAGACCAGTTGGACCAGGAAATTTGGGGAGAGGACAAAGAGAATGATAACGAAGAAAATGACGGTAACATTGGATTTTTATTTGATTGTTCTTTAGTATATTATAAGATGGTGCGCAAAATTGACGAAAATCTTTCATCTAGATTTAGAAGAAAAAGAGGAAGATGGTAAAGGAGGTGAGAAGGACGGAGAAGATCAACTGGAAGCGAAAGGCGATAAAGAGTCGAAAGAAAAGCCGGAACGCAAAGAACCTTCGAAAGATCAAACGGAAGAATCTGAAAAAAATAACAAGGAAATCAATGAGATGAACGAGCCGGAATTCGATGACGAACAGACTGATCCCTATCACGGCAATCAACAGGAACTACCTGAGCCCGAGCCCATGGACTTGCCTGACGACTTACAGCTTGATGAAGGTAAATAAAAAAGTGAAAAATTAAGCAAAGTAACGAAAATGTTGGCATTGATTAATAGGTGAAGGAAACGATGGGGAACAGCCAGAGGAAAATCCGTTCGACATCGATGAAATGAAAGACCAACAAGTTCCTGAAGATAAACCTGAAGACCAAGACGGACAAGCCGAAGAAGATCGAACTAACGACGAGGAAAAAGGGTTTAGCAGTGACGATGAAGATGTCACTAGAAACGAGGGAGACGACAACATTGAAGACGAAGAAAGTGAGTCGCCCAACGCTGACGAGAAACCACCCGAACCAGAAAAAATTGAAGAAGCATCTACTCAAGATGGCGATGAACCGATGGAACAAGCCAATGAGGAAGAGAGTGCTTTAGACGAAACTCCATCCAACCAAGAAAATATCGAAGCGATGCAAGCTGAAGATAAAGGCGCTACTGACAAGGTAATTTACGAAAAATGCCTGAAAATCGCAGCAATTATTTAAACTCTGTCACTAGACGCAAGCAACGCAGGCAGAAAACATGAAGTCTGAACAGCCAATCGATGATATTTGCCAGGAAGACAAGCCAGACAAGGAAGGAATGGGACAGTCCCAGATGGAAGAAAGCGAAACCGGGCATTCTGTCCAAAGCAGCGCCCAGCAAGAAGCAAAAACTTCCAATTCGGAGCAGGAGATGGAGAAGAAGCGCAAGGAACGTCCCGGACAGTCCGATCTGAAGCGCAGTTTAGGTTAGCTATCCAGAAACTACAACGATGGCATTTTCTAACTCAGTAAAATTTCAGGTGATGTAAATGAGCCGGTTGAGAAGAGACTAAAGACTATGGAAGCCAAAGAAAATGACAATTCTCCGCAAGAGGAAGCAGATGAGCAACAAGCTGACATGTATCAGCATATTCAAGAGGCGACAAAAGATAAGACTAAACAGGTAAGACTGTTGAAGTTTGTCTTCAAGAACATATGGGAATTTATTGAACCTCTTATGTATTAGGTATTAGACGCCGCTACTAAAGATCAAGTGGATGAGCAGAAAAAGGAAGCTGTTCATGAAGAGAATGGGGCTGATGATGAGGAAATGGAAGTGGATGGTTCCAATGAAGTTCCCGAAGACTATGAGGAGGAAGTAAAGGAGGCTGTTGCAGACACTCTGAAAGAGAACAAGACCAAGAGCGAAGGGAATACAAAACAAAAACGGCAGCACCCTGAAGGTACGCGAATGTTTAGTAGGAGATGAACTTGGGGTAAAATTTCGAATTTCTAGGAGAGGCTGTCGAAGAAATTGCTGATGTGGAAATCGAGGGCGAAATAGTGAAAACGTTGACTGTGTCCCGTGGTTTGGAATCCTCTTATCACACTCAATATCACCTGCTGCAGGAAAAGACTTTTGAGAAGTTATCCCAGGAAGAGATTAACGAAGTTCGAGCGCAGGTTGAGCAAGAGCTTTCCACGTGGAAATCAGCACCTACCAACATGGAAGCCGAACAGACATGGCAGAAGATTTCTTCCGTTACATCTAGTCTAGCCCAAGATTTATCTGAGCAGTTGCGTTTAGTGTTGGAACCCACTCAAGCCAGTCATTTGAGAGGCGACTTCAGAACGGGAAGGCGAATAAACATGCGAAAAGTGATTCCGTATATTGCGTCGCAATTCCGCAAGGATAAGATTTGGCTTCGCCGCACCAAACCCTCCAAGCGGGAATACCAGATTGTTTTAGCTATTGATGACTCAGCGAGTATGGCCGATAATCATTCCAAAGAACTGGCTTTTGAAAGTGTTGCCTTGATATCCAAAGCTTTATCTCTACTGGAAAGCGGCCAATTGGCTGTAGTTAGTTTTGGGGAAACTACGGAAATTCACCACAAGTTAACGGAACCTTTCACGGACAAATGCGGGGTTCAATTGCTACAAAACTTTCAATTCGATCAGCAGAAAACGTATATCGGAAAGCTTGTAAATTTTGTTACCGAAATGTTTGAGCAAAACTGCACTCAATCATCGATCCCCAATGCAAAGTTGCTGCTAATAGTCAGCGATGGCCAAGGGGTGTTTTCAGAGGGCCAAAGCTTCGTCACTAAAGCTGTCAGAAGGGCCAAATTGGCCAATATTTTCACAGTTTTTGTCATAATCGATAATCCAAAGAGCCGAAGCTCTGTGCTGGATATAAAAAGTACGATTTTCAAGGATGGAAAGTTCGTGGGTTTCCAAAATTACATGGACCGATTTCCTTTTCCTTTCTATCTTATTTTAAGGGACATTAATTCTTTACCGGGCGTGTTGAGTGATGCATTGATGCAATGGTTTGAAATGGTCACCTCCCAACAGTAGATTGACTAGGATTAAATTTTATGGTTCTTAGATAAATGTAATTTTACAAATTTGATTGTTGCCTTTATTCCGGTTTACTAATTATTTCAACTCCAGCAACCGATTCCAGGACGTCTTTAACCATTGCAGCCTTTTAAATGTTATAGATTGAACTAATCTAACAAGACATTTATCAATTGACATAAACATGTCAAACACCGTTGCGTTAGTCAATTGTTTGATAGTAGATTGAAAAGTCCATGTGCACATCGCTCGGTAACTATTTTTAAAAATCTCAGTTTTTTGCGATTTTCTAGTGAAATGTTGGTGATTTCTGGAAAAATACGGCTTTTCTTCGCCGTTTTGTGGTATTTTGCGGTACGGTAGTGTAAAGTTAACAAAAATACGCAACTATTTAAACTCGGAACTTTCTGACGTTTACCTGCCAGAATAAGGGGCCATGCGCCGAATTGGTTCTTCGGATTTTTAAGGACTTTGCTCTTTTGGCAATGGACAATGTAGATGCAGACATTTATCGCTCAAGATAAGGTACAATTTTTATTATACTCTACAAGTTGAATGGTCTTTGACTTGGCACATAATACAGAAAACCATAAAAAATATTTAAACAACTTTTTTAATGCTTTAAAAATGCCTTCAAATTGATCTAACATGAAATTGGTTTCCAAACCGGCAACACCTTTATTGAACCACGTCTTGATCGTCCGGGTTTTTACCATAACATTAACTTCACTAATAATTGCTGCTAATCACGCCAAAACGAATTCCTGTCTTTACCTATGATCACAAAGTTAGGTTGGAGTTTTTGTTTTGGTTGTTTCAAATTCTACTATGGATCTTTTTGAAGACAAAATATTCAACAACAATCCCCTCTATATGAAGAGCCTGATAGGGCAAACGGTCGAAATAACTACCACCGATTCACAGTCAATTAAGGGGGTAGTTTACGTTATTGACCCGATTTATAAAACCATCGTTTTACATACCAGAGAAAGCAGCCCTAAAAAACACGATACAGTTTTCATTCTGTATCATGCAATCAAGTCTCTGGAGCTTCAGGCTGGTGAGCGCGACAAAACCTACCTAGAACGGCAAGCCCCTATTGATGAAAATGTTAATTCAAGCGCAGAAAAGAGGCGACTGAAGAAATGGCTTCAACAGATGTACATTAATGTTGAAGAAGCAGGCGAGTACTTGAAGATCGATGATCATCTATTGATCTTGCCTCCTTATGGTTTAAATAACTGTATATGCAGTAACGTGATAGTTCTGGAGAAAATCAGAAATATCATTAATTTAATGCCAACCGACTTTGTTTAAACATTAAATACTAATGTGATAAAATCCAGATGTTTCAGTTCAATTTAACAGTATATTTATTAAACGCCGGTCTTAAAACCGTTATCATATCTTAGCTGCTTTATAGTTTGATTGCTCAATTATTTTCCTTCGGGCATATTTTTCATATCCCTTTATAAGCTTGGAATATTGCATAAGTAGTTATACAATCAAATAGATAAAAAACAGTAAATAAACTATAACACACATATTAATGATAATCATAGTTGCACATCAAATAACAATATTTATATAATAATGATTTTCTAGCTGTAATAGATTTACTATTTACCTACTACGAAACATACCAATCATTACAGAGCATTATTATCTTATTGCTTGAAATTACCAAGCAGAAAAACTAATGTTTGTGCCAGACTCTCTGGTTGATGGCTGTAAAGCAGCAGGGTCTTCGACACTAATTTGTATTTGATCAAATGTGTCAAGGAAATATTCAATTTTCTCCAATAAGTTGGTTGCCACATTAGCAAACTCCTCCCATATAAGGTATTCCTGGGTTACGAACACTTCCATTTCTTCAGTCGAGTCATCAACGCCAAACAATTTTTCCTCGTCTAAAAAAACACGTTTTTCAAGATGGAGCTTTTTAATGGCCGGTTATTCCATCACCTAAATAATCAGCCAGTAATATAAGCAGTTGGTGGATTTCCTCTTCAGTAAGAAGCTCGTATAAGTCGACGGTATCAATGCAGTAATTCCAGAGAACTTGACAAATCAGGCTTCCCAGCAACCAGTCGTTTTCGCAATACTTGGTCAATAAAGATATTAGTTTCGACACTCCACCACAACTCTTGAATAGCTTCCGCGCTCTATTATCGGACATTAGGTTCACAAAAACTCCAATTGTTGTTTTTAATAAAGTAGGCTCAGCTGAAAGTGAAATTTTTAAACAGGAAAAGGCAAATTATTTCATCTCTAACCTGTAGTAAGTAGATTCACCAAATTGCCAAAAATATCCGTTTCTGCAATGTAGTTTCTGGTGATTTTGGAACGGGACAAGTTTCCCAATATGCGCATCGTCTCTACAATGCAATCATTGCTTTTTGATTTAGTGTACTCTATAATTCCTACAAAAAATGTTTTAGTTGAACGTTTTCTTCAAGTAAATTGTTCGCACCTTCGGCAATATCAATCTGTTTCACGTGGAAGACGTCTAGCTCTAAATCGCTGGAATAATAATATGATAAGTTATTCAAAGTGCTTAGAATCGAGAGCACAAGTTCCTGGTTTTTCTTAAACGGGTTGCTGATTAATACTTTCAAAAATTCGTCAATCAGTTTGCTTCCATACTGCTCATTGATCGCTTTTCCAATGTCAGGGTTAATCACTATATTGGCTATCACTCGAATTACCTAAAAGTCAAGCAAATAGAGAATATTTTGTCTTTAAAATTCCATGCTTGAAACACACCTTAATCATGACATCTTCACTGGAGCTATTGGAAATACTCACATTTTCCACCTTCAAGGAGCATAACTGGAGGGTCCTTTCTAAATACGTTGTCCACAAAGTTAGTAGACAATCTATTGACTTTTCTTCTTTGAACAACTGAAAGGAAATGTATTCTAGTTGTAGATACTGAAGATTCTTAAAAGTTTACCTTTACTCTGCTGTCGTCGATTTTTGCCACAATATTTCCCAAAGTATACGCAAGCCGCACGATAATCTCGTCATTTTCTTCATATAGATTAAATAGTTTTATGAAAGTTTTATAGATAGTATCTATTTCAACTAAGCTATCGCAACACACTTCATTAGTGGACACTGTACTGAAAATTACATTACATTTAATTAATCGCCCGTTGTTGATTTTCATATAAATTGAACGTATCAATATTAATACCTTAAAGTGCGTGATATATTGGCTGTTATATCAGCATCGTTCTGAAACAATTCTAAAGCTTGGCAAAGCTGTGGAATAGTCCCACAGAAAATAAAATTGTCGTAAACATGTTCGTCTGAAACCAGGTTTCTTAAGGCTCCAGTCAGTTGGAAAAGCACATGATCAGTTTGTTTGTGAAAGGGGGTTTTGTCGATTTTCTAGAAAATTCTAAGTTAATAAACGATTTTCGGGCGAAAACCACCCAGTGCTCTTACAGCGGTATTGATTAGCTTAATATGAAGCACCATCAGAGGCAAAATGCCTAAATCTAATACTTTTTCTAATAGTTTCACGTTCATTGTCAGAAACTTGAGGGCTCCATAAGCGTACACGCAAGCTTCGGCATCGTCCATGGGACTTGACCTTCCAAGAGCATCTAGGAATAGTTCTGAAAATAAAAAAATAGTGAAAAGCGGTTTCGGCGCCTCAAGGATAAGTTTTAATGAAGAGTTGGTTTAGTTACTTCAGTGAGCAAGAGTGGTAACATATGAACAGAACTTACCAAGGAGATTCCTTCGGAAAAACAGATTATCATTAACATCATTTTTCGCTATTTTAAAGATCAGCTTACACACCCCGCTTAGGTTATTCCCAGTGACTTTCATCTAGAACAGCAGACAAGTTTCAGCAAAACAAATCCGAAACTCACTTCGCGACTCAACTTACAACTAATATAATCTGTGCAATGTTAATCAATATTTGTTCATTTTTCGACTCGACAAATCGGTACAGGCTTTTGAGTATTACAATCTTCAACTTTGAGCTAATTTTCGAGTTCAGCATGCCCTCTTTCTCCATAAACGCGTACAGCTCTTCCAGTAGATTTTTTACCGTTTCATCGTTATAGTTTTGAGGATCGGTTCTATTTAGGTCGTTTAAAATATCATCGATTGTTCTCACCGGCTCATTACCATCAGCTAAAATCGAATGCGTCCTTTTATTTAAATCGTTCTGTTTGTGCAATAGGAGTTGTTTAGTTAGGTAACCTGTGCTGGTAAAGAGCGTTTCGGAATGTTCGATTATATGTCGATTGTCGAAGATTTTTGTCAGGTTTTGAGGGCCGAGCAGGAGGCATTCGGATAGATTTGCTTGTCTGGCCGATGACCGTCCGAAGGCGGGTTGTTGGTCAAAAATCGTTTTTTCCTGCGGCGAGCTGAACGCATTTCTAGATTCGAGTTTTGGGTTGTCGATTTTGTATTCGGTTTCTTCAGGCACTGAAATGCAACAATCGTAGCCTGAAGTTGAATGTTTAAGTCCTACTTACGATTATCCAGCGAGGTTGTATTGTTGAAAATCTTTCTCTTTTGTAACGGTTTGTTGTCCAGGGATGGCAGCCGGATTTTGCATGGTTCTTTGACTCCAATATTAAAAATATTGCCATTTAGTTCAGTGAGCGAATTCGATCTATTATACTTTTTGAGCTCGTCGATTTTCGGTGTGGACGGATGTTTCGAAACATGAGTGGTAAAAATTCGGTTATCGGGAGGAGTAACTGGAAGGTCCGTTTCATTTTGAAGATATCGCAAGCTGGAACAAACCGCGGTTTATGCAATAAAATGAGGGAAAAGGAATTGTCTACAATACCTAAAGGAACTCGGAGGCCTATCAGCTTTAGGCTTTTTATTTCCAAACAGTAGTCTTTCCTTATCCCTGGGCGTGAATGGTCTTTGAGTTTGGAGCGGTTTTATTGCGGCAGATGCAAAGTTGGTTTCTATGTTTTGTGACTCTTAAAAACACACCTTGTATTCGCAAATTTGCTTATAAAAACCCGTATTCTTAATCAAATTAAATTGACTTATTATTAAAAATTGATCGATTGATGTTTCTTTGCTTTCTTCCAAAGGTAGCACATAAAATACTCTATGAACAGTGTAAAAAGTTATGCGAAAAGGTTTTGCGGCCATTTCTTGAAACTGGTGAGTTTTTCGGTTTTTTAGGCCGTCGTGGAAAATAATTTCTTTCTACCCCTTTAGAAGTTGGCAAATTCCGTAATGAGACCTAATTAATGGCCTAATTAAGCCTCTCAAGCACTACTGATTAATTAGATATTGTAAAGGATAGAAAGTCGATTAGTTCATCCCTAATACGGAAGAATAGAGATACGCTTTTAAAAGGCTCTGTTGAAATAGTTCTTAGAAGATTTTTCAATCGTTTCCGAGCTGTAGCTAATTTATAAGTATTCTTATTTTAACTACCAGCTCTTTAGATCTTGACAACTTCGGATACAAAACCTAGTCGGCTAATAGTTTTTAAACTTATTATTTTAAAATGGTTAATTCAATTTAGTCGTGCATGTTGTGAATTGAAACACTGTTTTTCTGCTTGAAGTTTTCAACAAATAATTGTTTCCTCTGAGCTTAAAACAAGAGAATAGCAGTTTTTAATTTTTCGGTTAGTTTTTACATGAATTATTAATAGTCTCTTCTCTTATATTACTTAGGTACCAACCTATTTCTATATAGAATTATATTCCTAATTCTATATTTCTATATAGAAATAGGTTGTATATAATAATATTATTATCATTCATTATCATTTAACCATTATCATTATCACTTAACCAGTCATTTGAATAATCCGCATTCTTAATAATTTAATATCTAACTTCTATGTTATTGCGCACGTCGGGTGAATTTCTAGATTGAGTCAACATTATTTTATATACGCAGTGTTTATAAATTACGGCGCATTGAAAATTGAGATTTCCCAGCTAGGAAATGCTTATTTAAGTGCGTTAAATGTCTTACCCTTAATAGCCAATCGTGCTTCATTAATAATTTCCGCACTTGTCTTACGGGAGTTTGCCTCCTGGTACGCGGTGGCAAAATCATTGCCATCCTTGGTTTTGGAAAGGAAATTCTTAAATTCCATATTTCTCAATAAAACGACAACTTTGTAACATTTTCAACACTTACGAGACCGCACTGAATAGGAATGAACTATTTGGTAGTTGTTTTCGTCGCACTTCGGCTAGAGGAAGGTTTATACTGGTTTTCAACCCCTTAACCGATAAATGGAATGAAACGGTCTGGGTATTGATTATTTCAGGGAAATTTTAGGTGACGAGCATGACATGCAAGAGGTCTGGAGGATCGATTTTGTAGAGTTCACGAGTTAATGATATTAGAGCGCACTTATCGAGTCTAGTGCGGTGTGGCTCGAATAAATGTTATTGTCAATATATTGTCATTTTAGGGTAATTACTTTGACATACTTTTCGGTTTATGTATTCCTAGTTGATCGTTTTATAGCATTATTTCCAAGTAATTTTAAACCGGGGCTTCTTTTATGCTTTTCCCCTTCAAATATGCTTTATCATGCCCTTGAGGAGGCACGCTATCCCAGTTTTAGTTAAATTTAGAATCTACAATATGCTGGTAAAGTCTCATAAGTTTGGGTCATAGTGTCTAGTTAAACGGCGGATTCTTTCTACATTTTACTCAAAATTTTGTGAACCGGTTGTCATTGCGGGATAGACCCTTGACGCATTTTTTCACTATAAACATAAATTTAAGAATGTTTCTAGTTTTCACGCAAAATGTGAAAATTCAAAATTAGAGCGGTTTAATTTTGAGAACGCCAGTGTGTGCAGTCTTTGGTGCTTATTTAGAGAATCGGTTGAGCTGAAAAGCTCTATTTGCCATTTCGAGATAGAGTCTTGAAATACGCACTTTTTTATACTAAACATCATTTTACGGATGTTTCTAGTTTTCACGCAGAATGCGAAAATTCAAAATTAGACCGGATTTTAGGAACCGCATTTCAGTCCACTCATATTTAAAGAACCGGCTAAGCTTCAAAGTTATATTTGCAATTGCGAGATAGTCTTGAAATGCGCACTTTTTCATAGTAAATATAATTTTAGGAATGTTTCTAGTTTTCACGCGAAATGCGAAAATTCAAAATTAGAGCGTGTCTGGAGAACTCTGCTTTGTAGTTGATTTTTTTTCACTTGCTTTTCTCTGAAAACATGAACGCAAAGATACAAGATAATCTATACAAAATTTGCGAATCTATGCATATAGAGAATATCTACAATTGTTGGTAACACTTCACTTGATTCTAACCTAGCTTTATAACAGATAACAAGCTCTGAACAAGCATCGGTACATAAACAAACTGAATTAAATATTATCTGCTATAAACAAACCTGCAATACAAGAGATAAACGATGCCTCTGGCTGAAGAGGAAGAGAAATTTATTGAAGAATGTGAGTCTGAATTTGCTGAAAGATTTACAGACAGTGAACCAGATTACAAAAAGGTATTTGACGAAGGAATCCCTCCACCACCAATTATATCCCCTTGGTATCCGAAATTCAGGCATCGGGAAAGGGGCTTCCAGAGACGGGATAACAGAAATTGGGGTGGACAAAACCATAAGCATGGCAGAGAAGGCAGATATGACCGGAAATATAGGCCTTACAATTAATTCACTTTTTTTATTAAAATAAATTAACTGAATCGAATTTTATTATGTATTATTGTTGTGAACATGAGTAGGTATATGATAACATGCACTAATTTCGGTTATATAGTGGCAGAGTTACATATAAAATTTGTAGACATTAACACCTAAAACAAATGGAGTGGTTTAGTTTACATAGTTTACAAAAATCGCTTAAACAACCATCGAAAGCCATGCTAGAATTAAAATGCTTCCTCCAATAGGCGTCAACTTTCCAAACGTATCGTCGCCGGTAAACGCTCGATGGTATAAAGTTCCAGAAAACAAAATTGTCCCCGATATGAATAAGATTCCAGCCTAAAACCCGGATTAGATAATAAACGGTACCTGATTAATTTAGGGATAGGTACTCACAATTTTTGGATTTTTGCATAACGGAACACTCAATAATGCTAGCGAATGGAAAAAATGGTACCGATTAGCGGTGTCAAACATAATTTTCAATTCATCAGCCGTGTCTTTTGGATAGGTCCTATGTGCTCCATAAGCCCCTAAAATAGTTGCGGTCATTCCCATTATACCGGCCAGCCGCACAAACGGGCCCCCTTCATTAGCCAGTTTCCATAAGGGAGTTTTTTCAGTGATAACTGTAACAGTTGGAGGGGCTGGAAGACTCTTGGTGTTTCCCTGATAACGGAAATCATAGATAGGTATAGGTTTGAATCTATATATAGTGTTCAGATCATATTAGTGTCCTTGGGAAGAATGAAGCGGGAAGCTGTCTGTGAGCCATGGGATTCCCATAAGATGGGTAGTTTTTATACAATTATGTTTTGTTAAGGAATTCGTTGTTTATGGAAGAATAAGCACTCGTAATCGTTCGGTCTGAACCAGTACAATCACCCAATATAAAAGGTTTTGAAAATAAAATAATGTTTATGTGTATACAGGTGATTATTCGGCCTTTTGGCTACTTACCGCTACAAAAGAAGTTAGAGATTTTGATACAGGATTGGTGAATACTACGTAATTTGCTAACTCCTTAAACCCCATTCTGCTGTGTTTAGCAAATATACTTTGGAAAATTAGAACGTTACTTTAGGTGCCAAATGTGACTGCTTGTCCAAATTCAGATTAATAATCAATAACAACTTTTCAATGGCAAGGTTTGCCATCCTGTATACTCACTTTTGGTTATTTTCAGTAAATCGGCATGGAGACAACCTAACAGTTTTGTTACTGTTCTGCCACTCTTTCTCATCTAACCATTGGCAGCATTGGACATCAGCCACATTTCATAAAATTCACATTATCATAAAATATCCCCCCTTAGGAGGATGTTCTGTGCTAATGCATTCAAATTCATTGACAAATTCAAGAGGACTACAGGACAAGCTTTAAAGGATAAATCCCGAAAACTCGTAGTACAAAAAGGGGGTATTTTAGTTGGTAAAAATCCAACACTACCCATGGTTCGGAACACGCGGGTGTCTTCCCGAAGATTTTTTACTCCGCCAGTCGCCGGGCAAACAAAAAAAGTGCATTCAATTTAGTACCTTTGTGATCTGTGGCACTCGCCTAGCGGTTGCTCAAATTTGTGGGGATGCGGGAATCTTGACAGCTCTGACTAGTTGTGAGCAACTGACCGCTGCGATTTAAATGTGAATTAATTAAACTACATATAAAATGCAGTAAAATGTTCTTTATTTCCAGATTTTCAGTAATCAAATCAGGTGCGATAATGTTATTCCCGAACATACTCGCCCAAACGCTTGTCGTTGAGACCAGGAGCTGTCAAGAGCCTCGCGTATGCAAATATTTGGGCTAGCACTAGACGCGATTTTTGAATGCCGGTTAATTTAGCGAAAACCTCGTATAAACAAGTACAGGGTGCGCATTAATGTTTGTGTTTGTTCTCGGTTGGTGCTTGTTACTACTTACAACATTAATTATGCAATGTCATAATTCATTGCGCAATTTATGTTTGTATAGATAAATAAATCGTACTGGTATAAGTAGTATTCACTGAAGAGCACTTGTATTGGTTAGTTCAACTGTTGTGCAAAATGGGGTTACTGACAGAAGGAACTCCGCTCAGTTGGGAGGAGACGAAAAAATTGGCGCCCCACGTTCGCGAACACGGTGTGAATCAGTTTATCAGCATTTACAAGAAGTTGAAGGAGAGAAAAGGGGACGTTCTCAAATGGGGCGACGAAATCGAATACATTATTGTCAAGTTCAATGATGGGAAAAAGGAGGCCAAAGTCAGTTTACGTGCTGAAGAGATTTTGGCCGTGCTTAACGAGAAGGAGCAACAGAATCCCGACACTGTGAAGTTTCTATGGAGGCCTGAGTTTGCTGCTTACATGATTGAGGGCACTCCAGGCAAACCGTATGGCGGAACGCTGGCCCACTTTAATATAGTGGAAACTAACATGAGGATGAGGAGGCAGGAGGCAATGGAACTGCTCAAGGAAGGAGAATCTGTAATGTCTCTAACCAGTTTCCCCAGGTAAGACCAACCTTGGCCTATTTACTTCCATTCAAGGACGTCTATACTATAAAACTCTTGCTCAATTGACTACTATTAAACTACTATTATATAGACACGAGAATCTCCATCCATTAATAATTCCTGAAGGGGAATCCAAAATTTCTGATAAGATTATTTAGGTCAGCCAGGTTTAAGTTGCGAAGGGCAGGACTAGTGAATTGGGTGTATTATCTGTTAAGAACATAATTTAACAAAGGCGTTAGATTGCAATACTACTGGCCAAAAATCAACGCTACTTTAGAACGTGATAAACTTGCAATTAATGGTGTAACACAAGAATTAACTAGGTATCAACAATTTGTCATATGGGGATAATAGACATTAAAGCAATATATAAAAAGGATTGGAGTAATAAAACAAAATTAACAATAGAATAATTCTGTGTTTGCAATACAAACACTAAATGGGTCTGGATTCATTGCCCAGTTCTGGGCCCAAGCATGAGCTTAATCAATAATGGATTTGAATTAAATATTGATTCAGTCAGTGGATTGTAATAAATATACGCAAGTCAGGAAACCTTTACTCAAATACTATGAGCCAAGAAGTCAATTGGACATTCCTGATAACTTTTTAAAACTAGCTGTAGTAACATTTTTCTTCAAATGTTCGAAATTGTTCCTCAGAAGAAGCACGCGACGTGCTCTCAATAATTAGGTTATTAATCATATAAATCATTAACGCAATAAACAACTGAATTCTATGTGTGATACACCACCAGAGTGCAAAAGCCCAAAGATTTTTACTAAACCATTCATAGATTAATATCTACATTAAACAACGCGATACTGCACGCGAATTCAGCTTGGATGGGTGGATTTTTTTAAGTCTCTTATGCGGCTTTTGTTGATTGAATATTTGAAGCTTTTAAAGACATAACATAACTTTTAAAGCCAGAGCATCTTGCACAATGCGCTTCTAGGCTTCATTTATTTAAATAATGCCAGAATGTTTCGAAAAAAGTAAATTTTTTATGAACATTTTTTGTTATTCATCAGAAACATTTTCAATAAATGCCATCTTAAAAAATAAATTTAAAGTTAGAATAATGGAATAATCATGAATCACTTACATGTGATTCACGGAGACCAGTGTATTTCATGCATATTCATAAACCTAATCGGCCTGTTGATAAGATTAGAGGATTTAGATTAGCCTTGATTTATGAAGCAAGTTGCAACAGGCATTACGACAATAAAACTGGCTAGTCATGGTTTCATTAATTGAACAGTCGATACCTACGTGAAACGAAAAAAAGCATTTTCAAATATGCTGCGATTTATAAACACTGCTTTCAGGCTAAAAATTGTACAATATTTTAGATTATTCAATTTCTTGTAACCTTGGTTGGTTGAGCTTTAAATTGCTTTAATTTAGCAGTGTACTTGATGAATATATTTCAACTTCATTGAAGGTCTTTGCGATGAATGTATAGTTAAGTGGTTGTCACCTCTTTACATTTGGCTACTTAAAGATAAGCGGCTCAAATCGAATTTGGAAATCAACTTTGTAAACAAGTTCTCTTTTTAAAAAAATTGTAAGTGGAGACAATTGTTTACTGGATTTATTACAACGCTTAAAAAATGAGCTTTGGCACCAAAAATCGCGCTCTATTTTTATGAACTTTATTTCAATAAAGACATTTGCAATTTTCAGATTGGGATGCTCTGACTTTACAGAACCCCCCACTAAACCCACTCCGAATGAAGGCGGAACAAAATCCCTATTTTTCCCAGACGAAGCAGTATTTCCTGGACACCCTCGATTTATGAACTTGGTTCGCAATATTCGAAAAAGACGCGGCGAACATGTGGCAATTAATTTACCAAGTAAGTAAATGCTAAACGCGATTTACTAGAAGCCATTCAAAATTTAACTTTGCTCAAAAAGGTGCCATCAATAAGGCGTTTGGGCCTTAACTTATTTGGAAGTTTTTAGGGATGTAAAAACGAAAATACCAGTAGACGAGTCGCATTTAATAAGGAAAGCTGCTAAACCGGATTGCGTTTATTTGGATGCAATGGGATTTGGGATGGGCTGTTGCTGTTTGCAGCTGACTTTCCAAGCTTGCCACATCGATGAAGCGAGGATTTTGTATGACCAGCTTACACCATTGTGCCCGATAATGGTAAGATTAGTTTAAAGTTATCTAAAATCAGATTAAAAATTGGGATATTAGTTGGCTTTTAGTGCCGCCTCACCCATACATCGAGGATTTTTGACCGATGTGGATTGTCGATGGAACGTAATTTCGGGATCAGTTGATTGCCGCACTGAAGAGGAACGAGGGCTAAAGCCCTTGAAAGAGAACAAGTTCGTTATAAAGAAATCGCGGTATGATTCAATCGATTCCTATCTATCACCGCAAGGTGAAAAGTACAATGACATTCCCATTTTGTACAATGATGAAGACTATAAAAAATTGCGAGATAATGGCATTGATCATTTGCTTGCTCAACATATCGCCCACCTTTTTATACGAGACACTGTCTCATTGTTCTCGGAGAAAATCAATCAAAACGACGAGGAAGATACTGATCATTTTGAGGTAACAGTGTTATGAACTGCCAGCTGAAGGGCTATTTAAACCGCAATTTTTTTATAGAATATTCAGTCAACTAATTGGCAAACCATGCGATTTAAACCGCCACCACCCCACTCGACAATTGGTTGGAGAGTCGAATTTAGGCCCTGTGAAGTGCAGGTTACCGATTTTGAAAACGCCGCAATTGTTTGCTTTGTGGTTCTCCTAACCAGGGTTATTCTATCATATCAATTGAACTTTTTAATTCCCATAAGTCAAGTGAGTCTATAGACATTCTAAATGATAGTAGTAAATGTTATTGAATGTGAATTTCTAGGTGGACGAGAATATGCAAAACGCTCAAAAACGAAATGCATGCAAAGAGCAACGATTCTGGTTTAGGAAAGATATAACTACCGATATTAGTCCGCCAGAAGCAAATAGATGTTGTGCGGGCACGAGTTGTGATCCAAAAGCTTGTGATATGGTGGGGCTAATGACTGTGAATGAAATTATCAATGGCAATGTAATGAAGCGGCCAAATAAAATTTTGCTCTAGTTTTACATAGGGAACATTTCAGGCTGGCGATTTTCCCGGGTTAATTCCCTTGATCAACAGCTACTTAAATGGCATGGATGTGGATGCAGATACGCATTGCACCATTCAGCAATACCTGAAGTTTATTCAAAGACGAGCCTCAGGAGAAATATTTACTACAGCATCGTTTATCAGGAAGTTCGTCACTGAACACCCCGCCTACAAGTGGGTTTGGAAATAATTGCGAATGATTAGTATAATTAAATCCTGCTATTTTTAGGCATGATTCTGTAGTGTCGGAACTCATTAACTACGACCTCCTGAAAACCTTGCAAGACATCGAGGAAGGCAAAAAGTCTTGCCCAGAATTGCTGGGCTACAGTGCCACATCAAAAACTCGAGAAAGTATTCCCAATGCCTTAAAAAATGATTATTGAGTACACGCTTTTGATAAGGAAAAGCAATTAATATTAAGTCACATTAGTGCAATGCATTTAAAATATGTTTAGTATTAATTTGAAGGAAAACGAAGATTTTTTATTGTTTATGCATTTACTGGGTCACATAATATATTTGCATTACTATGTTCACATATGGAGCATTGATATTTAGGATCCGCAGTTTGATTTCCCTGAAATGAAATAGGCCCTTTTATGACAATCTTAATTTTTGTGCTTAATGAACTCACTTTTAAGCATACGTAGCAGTAGATGTGTGCACAGCCCATATGATGAGGTAAAATAGGACTTTGCCCACAATGGCCACATTTCGTGTTCAATGTTATTTGTGGATTCTTTATAACAGTGACGGTGCTGGCTTTTTTTCTACTAAATGGATTATATTCCTTAATCTGTCGCTTTAGTCGGTGATAATTGATCAAAGGAATCATATAGACAAGGATTTCCTGGAAAGGACTAGGTTAAATTCAAGTGCTTAACACCCAAATGTTTCCTTACAATGAATCCATTCCAAAGCAATTCCCTTGCTAAGTATTTGGACTCGAAATTGCGCGCCGGGGTTTCGGTAGCAAATACTTGGTTTAGCCCTAACAGTCTTTCAACCAGAAGAGGTTTTACTCCATATCTTAAGAAAAGTGAAGTGTTCAAAAAATCGAGCACTTTAATGACGACGCCAATTTTGAAAATAAGCCTTGCGATAGCGTGCGAAGGCTTCCATAACTCGCACTTGCCTTGAAAGTACCCCAAACTACCAAATAGAATATAAAGAGTTTTTTTCACGTTTGTTAGATTGTCGTATTTGATGTTGAAAAGACGTTGGCCAAACGTTGACCCGTTTTCCAGCAACGAGTACTTAGCAATCCCCAGACGGATTAGCAGGTCGATCTCTGCACTTACTGGAGAAATTAGTCCAGGCTGGAAATTCGCAAGTCAATTTAATTAGTTGGTTTACTTGAATGTTCACGTACAGGCAAATGCTTGATCGCATCCTGGATGATTTGCTGAAACGACCTCTCAATTTCCTTGTCCAGGTAAATTGCGTTCATCTGCGTAACTCGCAGTAGTTTAGTTTTTGCCATTTTCACTTTAAAAATATTGGTCGACAG